CATTTATTGATTGGGTTACTTGTTGTTTTGGTGCTTAGCTTTTTGAATTCTTTATATACCCTAGAGATTAGTGCTCTATCTGATGTGTGAGGGGTAAAGATTTGCTCCCAAGATGTAGGCTCTCTATTCACCTCACAGATTGTTTCTTTTGCTGAGAAGAAACTTTTTAGTTTGAATCCATCCCATTTATTGATTCTTGATTTAAATTCTTGTGCCACAGGAGTCTTATTTAGGAAATTGGAGCCTAATCCCACATGATGGWGATTARGGCCTACTTTTTCTTCTATTAGATGCAGGATCTCTGTAAATCTATGATCTATTTTGAATTAATTTTTGCATAAAGTGTGAAACTTAATTTCAGGATTTCCCCCCTCCCTATTGGTATCCAATTGCTTCATTACTATTTGTTGAAAAATCCATTTATTCTAATGAATTGTTTTTGCATGGTGGTGAGAAATTAGTTGGCCATAGTTGTCAACTTCTGGGTTCTTTATTCTGTTCCACTGATCTATGCATCTGTCCTTCTAAAAGTATTATACAGTCTATATTAGAGTAGCTGTATTTTATCTCTTGCATTCTAGAAGCGTGATTTCTTCCATTTCTTTGTTCTTTTTCACAATTGTTTTACTATTCTATCTTTTGTCCTTCCATATTAATTTTATCTCATTTTTATTGTTTTTTTTTKTKTGTGTGGTGCTGAGACTCAAAACCAGGTTCTCGTGTACACTAAGCACACACACTATCACTGAGCAACACCACAACCCAGTATAGATTTTAAAATAATATTGTCAATATCTACAAAAATATTGCTTGGATTTTTATAGGATCTTCATTAAACCTTTATCAGTTTCAGGCACATTGACTTACACATAGAATCTTTCCATCCATGAACAAAGTTACAAGTCTTTTTTGTTGTTGTTGTTTTAAGAAATTCTTTGATTTCCTTCAGCAGCACATTATATAGTAATGGGATACAATGTAATGTTTTGATACAAGTAAATATTGTGTAAAGCTTAAAGAAGGATTAACTATGATTTCCATTTCCTCAAACAATTGTCATTTCTTTATGGTGGGAACATCTATTTTGAGATATACAATATGTCATTGTTAACTGTAGTCACTCTAGTAGTCAACAGAATACTAAAACGTTTTTTTGCCTTTCTAATTATAACTTCAAATTATTGACTGACCTCTATCCCTCCTTTTCCTTCCTAGTTTCTGGTAACCACTATTTTATTCATTACTTCTTTGAGATTAACTTCTCATTTCCACATATGAGTGAGATGATGCAGTATTTTTCTATCATTTAACATAATGTTCTCCAGGTTCATCCATGGTGCTGCAAATGACAGAATTTCATTCATTTTTGTGGTTGAATAGTATTCCACTGGGAATATATGCACTATTTTATTTATCAGTTCATCCACTGTTGAATACTTAGGTCAATTCCTTATTATGGCCCTTGTGAATAGAACTGCAATAAACATTTAAGTACGGATGTCTTTATGATATACTGATTTCATTTCCTTTGGATATATACCTAGCAGTGGGATTGCTGAACTATAAGATAGTTCTAATTTTAGAGTTCTGAAGACCATTCATAATATTTTTCATGATAATTGGATAAATTTACATTCCCAGCAATAGCATGTAAAGGTTCCCTTTTCCCCACATCTTTTCCAAGACTTTACTGTTTTTGAAATAATTATTTCAATTTGTAAGTGTGCAACAAAAATATTTTTCCATCAAAAATCATCAAAATTCTACTGATAGCTAATTATTTTTAGGTAACTAACATTCATTTATGGCATAAATTATATCAATGTATTGTAAATACTTTAATAAATAATTTAATAAAATCTTAGTAAATTGAATATATGTTCAGTAAAAGTGGTCAGATAAGGCCTACTTTTATTTATTTATTTAGGTACCAGGGATTGAACCCAAGGGTGCCAGACCACTGAGCCACATCCCAAGCCCTGTTTATTTTGAGACAGTGAGAACTAAGTTGTTTTGGGCCTTGCCAAGTTGCTGAGGCTGGCTTTCAACTTGCAATCCTCCTGCCTCAGCCTCCTGAGCCACTAGCATTACAGGCATGTCCCACTGCATCTGGCTGCTTTTTAATTTTAATGCAGTCAAATTCATTTCAGAATTTGACTGGATGTGTATTTCTTGTCCTTAAACTCAGAATTCTCTAGTTCTGTATATATCACATGAAATCAATACCGCTGTCATTAAACTGGAGTCACTTTTTGCTATTAGTGACATGAACAGTGTGAATTCATGTTTAAACTGTAGTATGTTTAATGTTTATGCTTATTTAAAATACACACACACTCACATAGCGTATATGTGTAACTTTTAAAAAAAATCAATTCTTGCCTTAATCATGTCATGCCTCACACTATGCAGGTAGATGCCAGAGGCCCTTTGTTCACGATGATTTTTTAATGCTAGTTAATACATGAAAATGGAAACCTAAGATTTAAATTATGAGTGTTTCTTACTGACGTGAATAAAAAGTATCTGAAATTATTTTTTAGCATACATGACATTACTTGACAATATAAAATATATATAACTTAGCATTTAATACCTCTGCTCTTCCGGTAGCTGCACAGGATAAAATGTATTTTACAACATGTTTTGGTGAATGCTTCTGTATGTAGGTTTTCGAGACGGAATAGTTTCTCTTATTTCATCTTTGTTATAATTTTACAGGATTCAAGCCAAAACTCGAGAATTTAGGGAGCGACAAGCTCGAGAACGTGACTATGCTGAAATCCAAGATTTTCATCGCACATTTGGCTGTGACGACGAGTTGATGTACGGGGGAATGTCTTCTTATGAAGGTTCTCTGGCTCTCAACACCAGGCCCCAGAGCCCAAGAGAAGGGCACATGATGGATGCTTTGTATGCTCAAGTGAAGAAGCCGCGGAATTCCAAACCTTCACCTGTAGACAGGTAGGCTCCAGGGGCGATCCTGGTATTGCTTTCAAATCAGCTATTATATAGTTTTTGACAAGGGAGTAGATTGTTCATCAATCCTCAAACCTGAACTGCCTGTTATTAATGGCTTTTTAAAAGCTGTTGTGTCTAAAGTATTGAATTTACACAAATCGAAGCCTAATGGAGAGAGCAGCAAGAGGTTTTGATAGCTTTTCTAATGATTCCAACATATTTCATCCTGTTCTTCAAACAGTTTTAGGCCTAAGAACCAACCTTTAGTTTATAACTCAAATAAAAAGCAAACTTGAAATTATGGCCCTTCTACTTAAGCAATATTTGCTTTTATTGCTAGGAGAGGCTCCAGTTAGGGTAATTAACTAGGTGAAGAATGACATGATTTGTTCCAGTTATGATTTAGAAGGGCCACCTTTTTGGGTAACATAATTTTATATTATGAAAGAATTAGTAAATGAGAAATACAGCAGAGCCAGTTTTGAAATTGGTAATTAACAGTCACATAGCACAGGTCTGATTTATATTTACCAATAAAACATACAGGAGTACAATGTTGACTGTATTTGATGCCTATAGTTATTTAAAAATTTAACTGACTCTATGGAGATATGTGTGTGTGTGTGTGTGTGTGTGTCTGTGTGTGTGTGTGTGTGTGTATTGGTTATGTAATTACAAATATCTGTATGTTTTGGGCAGTTATTTATTGGTTATATCCTTAGTAATGTCTATGTACTGTTGGCTGTATGTTTATTTCAAATGGATACATGTGTATTTCAAGTTTTAACTGACATAATTTTAAACAGATCTTTTTCCATTCTTCCATTTGTATAATCAAGCACCAGATGGATTTTAGCTCATGAAGAAAATAATACTCATTTCTTTTATGTCAAACATATGCATAGTATTATCATAAACACTTCACTCACCTTGTTATTATTGTTGCTGTGTGTGGGAGCTGGGCTCTGTACATTATACATGGTTTCACTTAAAAATCAGTGATTCCCAAACCTTCATGAGCTTTAGGGTCACCTGAAGGTTTCTTAAAGCACTGATTGGTTGAGTGCTAGCATTTTGTCTGGAGTGGAGCCCAGGGATTGACATTTCTTATAAATTCTAAGTTTGATGTTAGCACCACTGGTCCTGGGGATATACTTTAAGATCCCTTGCAAGACAAAAGATGGCACTAGAATTATTTTATCTGTGGCATGTGTGTAATTTGTTTGATACAGTTTTGTAAGAAGTCTATTTCAGTTATTTGTTTCCAGCTTTTTTTTTTTTAATAGAGGTTTGCAAATGCAACATATAAACCTTGGGCAAACCCAGAAGGAAGCATTTAAAAAAAATAGCAAATGGAAAAACAAAACAAAACAAGCAACAGTAAATGAAGAAGCAGATATTAATGTGAAATTTTGATCAGATTATTGTTCTGATGTTTCCTTTTTATGTTGTAATTTCAATATTTATTTTTTCTTAGAAAATCTATTTTATGTAGAAGATAATGAGTGAATAAGGAGGCTTCTAGTTTATTTAAACCCCTCTACTGGGATGACCTAGAAGGTTCACCTGCTTATTAACTAACACAGATGTGCCAGGACTCAAAGAATGAAGTTATTATCAGTAACAGTGACATTTCCTTTAAAAGCTTTTTACTTGTTTCTGCCATATTTGTGAAAGCTGCTTATAGAAGGTCAAACAGCATTTGAAGGTGGTTTTAATGTCCCATTGAAAGTGTTTTCCTGGGAGAAAGGACACTAGTAACAGTAACATTGCCAGTTTGTAACTTTGGGAGGAACTTCAAAATCATTAATCGATGTATTATTGGTCATTGAAGAAGCATTCATCATTTCCACATCTAGTTAAAAAGAGTGGATGTGCTTGAGCAGTTACATAGCTCAGAAGTCMCACATGACCAGAGCCAGAATCAGAAAGGATCTCCCAACAACTCATAATCAGAAGTGATTGCTTTAAACCCCAGTGTTCTGCAAGACTCTGAATCCTGCCAGAAGATTTCTGCACATTTTCTAAAGGGCTTCCATGTTCAGAACCCCTGTACTCTGGGCTACAACATCCCTTCCCATGACTTCTGCTGTGCACCACACTAACCCCAAACTGAAGCAGCCTCCTAACTAATTGCTATCAAAAGTCTACTCAGGAAAACATCTCAGAAAAAAAGGATTAGTTACACCTGTGAATAATTCAAAATCACACCTTAGACATCGCTATAATCCAATCCTCACCAGCTTTACTCAGAGAGATTATTTTTTCAAAAAAGAATTACAGAAACCTAGGTTTGGTTTTCTGATTTTTTTTTTCAGAGAATAAGATACCCATTAGATAATGAGTGACATCACTAATTCACAAGGTTGATAACTACGCTACCTGTGAAATACTTCTTCACTGACCTATTCCTGAGTATGAACTTGGTATGGAAAAAATGGTATCATCCCCATCATCTTTTTCTGTCAGAGAGCCAGCTGTAGAAAAGTGCTTCTCAATTTTGAGTAGTATAGAAACTCCTTTTTAAAGGAAAGACAAGCTCTTTATACTGCAGCATTGGTTTAGAATGTTTTCATTATAATGTTATTTAAATATGTATAAAAATATGATAAGACCAAATTCCTTCTGTTTATAACCATTATACAACTATAAAACCAAACGTCTTTACAAAATTAAATACAAACAAAATGGCAGAGCCATTATGTTCAAATGAACAGCATTAATGGGACCATACTATTTTTAAAAAATAATCTAAATTCTTGCACAAATCATAAATAAGGTAGTGGTTGCTACATGGTTAGTTCATTTGAGTGTGTTTATGTACCACTATGAACTAAGTACTAACTAAGCGTTCATCATATCATCAAAAGAACTGCAAAATTCTGGGTTCTTTTGAGTGTTCATGTCCAAATATCTTTGGTCTGCACATCACAGAGATGAATCGTTTATATGTGAAGTTAGCTTGCCTCTATTATCATTAAGTTGAGATAGTGAAAGTAGTATAATTCTTGGTGCCTTCATATTTGTAAACTTAAAATTCAGACAATAAAATAACATGCCCGTAAATATCTAGAAGACACTTACATTAACTTATCATCCTAATGGAAATACAAAACTTGAAACTTCTCAGAGATTATTTCTGGTATGAACAATGTACAAGTTCCTATCATCACTAAATGTCACCAAAATTTGTAATCAGTATCTGATCAACTTTACTATTCAGATTTTTGGGTTTTGTGGGAGTGTAGGCAGTGTAAAGAGTTGACAGTCGTGAAGTGTAGCCTGCATCTCTTCTTGGATTTTCTTTGTTCAGTAAGAAAGCAGAATTCATAATTTTTCTTTCTTAATCATTTTCTTGGATCTCATAGTCAGAAATGTGAATTTGGTAGCTCTACATGGAAGCAACCAAAGATAATTAATTAAATGCTATGAATTTGATGTCAAAATGGGGGTATCTTTTTCAATTTCCATGTATTATTTATGAAGCTTTTTATAGGATAGCATTAGATTATGTCTAGAAATATTTTYGTGCTGTTTATTGACATGTCAACTAGTATATAACCATATGCTTTAATCATGATGCCCTGGTTACTTTTTATTGGTGTCCTTGGCAACATTTTGGTTTTTCATGATGGATAAAGAGAAGCTAAAGAGAAGCAGACCCTCTCCTGTGTTTTGTATGAATACTAGACTTACACTCACACACACAAAAAAGCTGATGTATTTTTCTTTATCCTGATTATTAATCAGAGACCTCAAAATTTTATCATTGGAAATAATTCATAATCCTGTATTTCTTAGACATGAGTGCCTTTCCTATTTGTTACTGCATCTCAGCGGATGCACTGCTGTTTCCATACTCTCTATGCATTGAGGAAGGAACTGCCGGTTGCGTGCCTGCTATCTTCTTATCCCCTTCTTCCTTGCTTAATAAATTCCAATTTTGTTCAAGATAGCAAAAGATAGAGGTGGAACTTCCAACAAAGCTAGTTTTTTCCCTGACTAGAATGGGGCTGAGCTTGGGGGTTTAGTGCAGCAGTAGAGTGCTTCGCTAGCACATCCAAGGCCCATGGTACATTCCCTAGCACTGCAAAAAAAAAAAAAAAAGCGTAGGGCTGGGGATGTGGCTCAAGCAGTAGCACGCTCACCTGGCCTGTGTGCGGCCCAGGTTTGATCCTCAGCACCACATACAAACAAAGATTTTGTGTCCGCCGAAAACTAAAAAATAAATATTAAAAAAAATTCTCTCTCTCTCTCTCTCTCTCTCTCTTAAAAAAAAATTTTTTTTTTTAAAGCGTAAAGGTGTTGAGTCGGTTCTTACTCTTTAACATTTCGCTTCTCTGTTTGTATCCTGGGTGGGTGCTGCAAGTGAGGGTTTACAACCCTGAAGGTGAAGGCTGCATGGAAGAAGAATGGGGCAGCCTGGTCCCTTGAGCATGCATTCCTGGCATGGTCACTCTGGACTTGTCACCTGTTCCTTGTGTATGTTAACCTGCCATCAGGTTTCTGTTTCATGAAGCCAAATGCCATTCTGAATAATAATAAGTTGTGCACAGAAGAGCCCCCCAAAAGGAATCATTATATTTTGATCAAGATTGTTTGCAGATTGGAAAATTATCCCCTGGACAAATGATTTTAATATTTTGTGAAATTAAATAATGGGCAGAATTCTTCAATGTTGCTCAGTTAGCTATTCTGCCCTTTATTTTGTTAAGCCTCTACTTAAAGATATTTTAAGTAGAGGCTTAACAAAAGGTCTTCTAGAAAATATCCTCCTTAACTTTTGAAGACCTTTATCCCCTGCCAGCTCCTACCTCCATGGACAATTCTGCTATAAAGTCAGAGGCAGTTACCTGTTATATACTAGCATGAACTATAGAGCCAACTTGCCTGAGTTTTGAGCCATTGGTTGTATAAACTGTGCTTCCCTTGCCTCATCTGTAAGATGGGGATAATGGTCCTTGCCTTGTTAGGCTTGGGCAGGATTAACCCTGTTAATAGCA